TCATATTCCCCAATAACTTCTCGTAAAATCGCTCTTTCATCATTTAGTGTTTCCAAAGGTGCACTATTTGCCTCACCTGCTTTATTATATTGTTTTATGTTATAGCGTGCTTTAAATTTTGTTAACCACTCATCTGATCCACCAAAACTTGTTACTTGTAATCTCTCGCAAAATGTGTTGCTTTGCTTTTTAATATGTCTCCACTAATAGCTAAATTTGATGCCAAAGCTTGACTCATCCATAAATACAATGCAGCTTCAACCTCAGGAAATTTAGCACCTCTTTCTCTTTTTAAATTGCTAGATTTTACATTTGAGGTATTAATAGATGTCCATTTATCCTTCTCTTTTATTATATTACCAGCTTGTGATTTTGATATTCCAAATTTTTTTGCGATTTCATCTAAATTATATGATGGATGATCTCTTTTCCATTCACATACTTCTTTCTTCTCCAAAAAAGTTAAACTCTTTCTTTTCTTAATTTTTTCTTCATCATCACTTCCTTTAGTTCTCTTTTCTGGTGGCATTTTAAATATATAAATAGTACCGAGATATTGATAATATTACCAATTAAAAAAAAATTATAACAAGGTAAATGACAAAATGATGATAAATGATAAATGATTTTTATTTATTGATTAATATTAAAATTTCATCTGAGATTTTTCTCTCTTTATATAAACAATTTCTTGTATAAAAGAAATACTATAACAATATACTATTACAATTTTTTTTAAAACAATTTAATTTCGTGTAAATAATTCTCTTTGTTGTTAAAGAATCAACTAAGTCTTTTTTGAAAATGAAAAGGTATTTTGACACTGCTAAAAAAAAAGAGGATAATGTATAAATTAATTTATTGTCAAAGAAATCAACTAAATCTTCAAAAACATGAATACTTTCCACTGCCAAAAAAATCAGCCTTCTTTGTTGTTAAAGAAATTAACCAAGTCTTTTTTGAAAATGAAAAGATACTGTTGAAAAAAAAGAGGATAATGTATAAACATTAATTTATTGCCGCCATCAAAAAAAAAATAATGTGCAGATCAAAATTTATTGTTAACAAAATAATTGTTTACCTTTTTTTAATATACAATTTTGTTGACCACATTAACACTAACCATTAATGTAAAAGATTGCCATAAAACCACATGATTTCCACTATAACGAGCATAATTCATAAGGTATGTTCTATATCAAATTTTTTAAAAGTCCACTATACACAATAAAGAGATTTTATTAAGAAGTCCACTATAACAAACAAATTTTATTATAAAGAGAATTGGGGAAATAGAAAACGTCCACTATAGGCAAAATCCACTATAACGAGATCCACTATAACGAGCTTTGACTGTAATAATAATAATAATAATAATAGTTAATTTATTGTTTGATAATTATGAATACAAAGAATTGGAGAAATAATAATGAAATTTATTTATTAATATTATAAACCTTTGGCATAGTACATCAAGCAAGGTTTGAATATTTCAGAATAAAGCTCTAAAGGGTTGTGGTGGTAGTGATGGTAATTATGGTGGTAGTGGCAATAATCATAATGCCATGGATACAAGTTGGTTAATAAAAAAAATAAAATTATTATTATTATCATCATTATAACTTGCCCAATGTAAATATATTTTGTTAATATTTAACTTATTCCAAATGATTTGATAATTAAATTCATTAAATTGAATAATAATATGCCAAATAAAAATAATTTCTATTTTCTAAAAATAAATATAATAAAAAAAAGATGATCGCGTAACAGATTGTAGCTAACCTTTAAAAATATTAAAAAAACCAAATTAACTCCATTTTATTAATAGCCCATTCTTGAAAAGAGTCTGTTATGCGAATTTGTTTTTTGTTTGAAGATATCAAATAAATGTCAATAAATTTTGTTTGATATGATCTTCTCTTCTATTTCATCCAGCAATATATATTAATATATTAATATTATTAGGTAAAATGTTTATTATTATTATGAAAATAATCTTTAAAAAGCAAATTTGAAGTTAATACTTTTCTATAAACAAAATATGTAATAAACATTTAAAGGTTGGAAATTAGAACTTAACTATTGCATTTATTATTATTATGTAAAAAAAATTGTATTTGAGTTCCATATTGAAATAAACCAAGAATTACGTTTACAGTGTTCTTCTGCATCTTCATCAATAGTTATTTAAGTCATTTCCGTTGGCTTTCTCTTGAAGGATTGTCCTCTGCTTTTAATTTTTCAAGAAAATTAGAAGTAACAATTTGATAACACAGATTGAATAATTATCAAATATTTTTACATGCTCATTTGCTTGCTTTATTTCCTGATGCTCATCTATCATCACTATTAGTATCATCACATGGTTTCAATTTGATATTTTTGAACAAGTAAACAAGGTAAGTCACTAGCGAGCATTTTATTCACTAAAATTAAAAAATAAAATAAATAAGTTAGTAAATTGAGTAAAAAACCAAATCATTTGAACTTCTGTTACAGAATTTCTTGAATTTTAAACAAAGTATACTTTGAGGAAAACAATAGATTTTTATAGATTTTTAACAGATTATGGAAGAGAAAATATTGTAGTATTTATTTAAATAATTATAATAGTAATTTTTTTAAAAAAAATTTTTTTTCAACAAGCACAAAGTATCACGTTAACTCATTTGTAACATATGAAAAATATATGAATTGATCGACAAAGAGGTGCAAATTTCTATACCTAAATTTGGAAAGAACCCGGACTGCAGTAGCTTCAAGAAACCTTATATTATCTATAGTATAATTGATCTTTCAAGTATTATGCATTATTGTAAATTCATAATCCACAACTCTACTTAATATCAATTCACTTTCATCAATCAATCTTAAAAAATAAAGTTTTATCTTTTTCAATGGAATTGTGATATCTTTCTTTTATATTTCAACAAACTGGATTATAGCCACCTACTAATTCACCAGTTTCTTTAAATTTCATAATTGTTACATGTGGAATATCATAACATTTTTTCTCAAATGCTAATTTTCCAAGTCCCTCTTGAAAGCCACTAAAAACTAATTCAAATTTAAATTGATGTTTTTCATCAACCCAATTAGAAATTAATGAACTTGGACCCTTTTGAACTAATAATCTTATCATTATGATGATAAAATTGAATTAGTTCTTCATAAACTTCCTTATAAATAACCTTTTTATAGGGTATGATTTTTTCATTGAAATCATCATATTAACCAGGATTGGCCCATGGTATTGGTCCATTTGTGTAACACCATATTTAGTATTTTATTGATGGCAATGGACCATACCAGAACTCATTGGTCTCAATGGACCTAGTCTATTGCTGACCCTGTATTAAACTTAATTAGTAGAATAATCTCCTTCAAATTTGTTTTCAATTCAATTACACTATCTTCCCTTCATTCTGAATACTTTCTTCCAGTTTGACTAATTTTGGTTGGTTATTTACTGGAGAATACCGACCCAATTCAAATTGATTCTTTTTTTTTTCTTCCTCTTTTGCATCTTCCAAATCTTCTATTTGCCCAATTCTCCATTGAATAACATGATTCCAGGTATTGATTTTTTTTCAAATTGGAAATAATCACTTACCACCACAAACAACATTGTTGATTTTTCAATTGCTTTATAATCAGAATTGAAAAAAGCCAATTCAGGGTTTTCACAAATTAATTCATTACAATATTTTGAAGCACACTAAATGATAATTGATATTGTGATGAAAATGTATAACATAATTAAATTTTGCTTGATCCATTCATTTTGGCTAGATTCAACATTCCATTGTAGATATACCTTTAAAAAGAAAATTGTGATCATTAATGATTAATTAAGTGATTAATAAATAAATAAATAATTCTTACATTAAAATGACTTTGAATATATTTGGAGAAATATTTTTTTTTTTCTCAAATAAAATAACATCATCATCAGATTTTTAACCCAATTTGACAGATCAGTTTTAAGATACAAGGATCTTGCTTTTAAAATGGCAGAATGAGTTTTAAAAACTTTCACATCTGGGACTTCTCCAACTTTGATTTCTACATCACAAAAATCAGTTTCATTTAACAAATTTGTCAAATCATTTATAAGTTTTCTAATGTGTTTTAGTGATAAGCTATTCTTGTTGGAACTAATAAGGTTGTTAAGTAATTAATTTACGTTTCTAATTGTTGATTGCTTGAAAGAATTTATTCTGAAGAAAAAAATTTTAAATTTATGAATTTATAAATTAAACTAAAGCTTGAATCAAACGAATAAGTTATGATGATACTTACTCATGCATTATTATACCCGATATTTTTTCTTTGTTATTTTTGTTTTGATATCCACCTTCAAAAGTAGAATGTTTTGGCTTGTTTGTACAACATACACATGCGCGTAATAAAAGTGTGTACGCGTATGTCGATCGAATAACAACTTTTTTCCCTTAATTTGGGAAATTTTCCACATCCAAAATTTATACAGTAAATGGAATATAATTGGATTCTTAAACGAGAGTGATTTAGAACCGTTTTATAGAAAAATAGATGAGTACCTTAAAGCCTTGAAAAGATTAATAACGAAAAAGGAATGAGGCAAAAAAAAGCAAGCCAACTTCTTGACAGATATCGGAAGGCACGTAATGACTTTTTTAAAAATAGTGGCGTGACGATCGTAGGCTTTTTTGGCCTTTCTCATCCAAGGCTCTTTGCTAAGCTACAAACCAGTGTTAGAGCACAAATAACCTTTTTGGTTATTTGATTTCAAGACTTTTTGCTGATCAAACACTGGACCCATTGGGGCCAGGTGTCCTCTTTGGCTACCTGATATTCAAAATGGGATAGAAGCTGAAATAAATATGATCAAGAATTCTACAAATTTTCAAATCTTATGTTAGAATCCTAGACCAGATTATAAAATCGCAAAGTCCTGGGAAAGGAACGCACACGTAAACAAGTTCACCTACACCGGCTAATAAACGGAATTGTAAATGGAACAATTAACACATTTAACGGGGAAAAAGTTGGAATCATTAATGAACAAGAAATCCAGTTCTCAGAAGAACACTGAGAAAATAAACAAAAATTATGCTGAAAATTCAAACAAAGTAAACAGAATGAATAATATCAGCAAGTGAACCCATAAGGAAATATCAGATGAAGATTCTGAGATATGTAATATGATGTTAGTCAATCTTTCCTATTTCAACTTCTGATTTTTCAACATCTAGGTTTGCGATGATGATGAAGAAGAGATAACTACGAAAAAAGATGATGAATATGACGACGAAAATGGTGACAAGCACGAAAAGGCCGGAAAGAGAAAGAAATTAGAGAAAAAATTGATCGAAGGTTTTAAGTTGAGGTTTGAAATGATAAGTATGGACGACAAATGGAGGCTTTTTTCAGGCATATTTGCAGAAGATGACTTGTATAATTGGGCAGTGACTCAACGTTCCGAAACGTAAATATGTTACATTTATCACATTGATTATATTGTTACCAAACATACTTACAATAAATTAATGCCCATTTTGTTTAAAGACTTGCACACTCTTTTATACTTGATACAGGTTGTCAAAAAGGTATAGAACTATTTAGTTTAGAAGAAAAAGAAATAATTACGAACACTGATAAAAAAACTTTTTCAGATGTTGTAGATGATGTTAAAAAATACGTCATGAAATATCATAAGGTATTTGTTTAATTAAGATTGACTAAATTGTACATATTTACATATAAACTTTATATATTTTCACAGAAAAATGTTGGAGGTCTTTGAAAAGTTCTCACGACACCATATTTGAAAGATGGGAAGACATAAAATCCAGAGCTGCACTACAATGCTTTTCCCATCAATATAATGTTATTGAATGGGAACAAGGCGTTAATGCTCTAGCTGAAGACAATTTATAGCCATGGCTTGTGAGTCATGTTTGGATCTTTGTTATTGAGGTGATATTAAAAGATATTGAAGAAATAAGAATTGGAAAGTATGTAATGCTCACATTCTTTGCAATATTGGTTATTAACTACGTATTTCTATCTTATAGGTCAGATGGTGGTTCGTCTGCATCAAAAATTCGAAAAAATAAGAAAAGAAAAATCGGAGAATCTGTCATTCGTGTAAATCAGCTTTAAATTTGTAATTTTATAATGCAAATAGTTTAAATTTTAATATCAATAGGGCAGAAAAATCGATTTATTGCTAAAACTCTGTAATAGTTCAAGGGAAATATTAGCTGGAAAAGTAGCAAGAACAGGAGATATTCGTGATAAAAAGACTTTAAAGAACAGAATGAAGCTATTAAAACTTATGAAAGATATGCCCGATTTAATTATTGAGTCACTTCCATCAACAACAATTGAAAATTACAGGAGTCTGTGCACGTTCGGGATACAACTTTTCAGTAAATGAACATTATTGATATTATATACTATATTTAATAGCTTTGTCACTTACATTTTATTGTTCAGGAACATCACATGTGCACCTTCTTTAAGCAGGAGAGTTAGCCAAGTGTTTAAATCGGTCTCTCTTATTGCTTAGAAAATAAAGGCATTATTTATATTATGGATCGCTCTGGAGGAGTTGTCTCGCGATTGACTAAAAAAGCCAATTTAGAAGCACCAATATACATTGAAGGTCTTTGTGGTTTAATTTTATCAATAATTACAATTTTAGAATTAAAGGTAATTATTAGCATGGTGGAAATTATTTTTTTTGTGTAATATAATAGTTTATATTGTTTAAAGTAGAATTACAAGGTAAAGTGTGATAATGAAAGTGTATTCAAACTTTGCAAATATACGCCTTCATATATTCTAAGTCTAGAAAGATCAAAATTTCCATTGACATTTTATTAGTAAACTTTTTAGTGTGAAGATCAGAAGGAAACAAAGCAATTTTAGACCTTGTGGAATTTGTAATTTCAACAGTTATGAAAACACTACCTTCTGGAACAGCAATAATAATAATAGCGATAACAATAATGACAACAGTAATGATAATAATAAAAACCATTCAGAGATTTGCAATAAATCATATGGATCAAAAAGCATTTTAATCCAATACAAAACGCAGTCATTCTGATATCCTTTAAATGATCCTCTTCCCAATAAATAGAATTTAATTTAATATAAAAAAATTGTCTTTACATTATAAAAGTTTGGAAAAATCATTTACTATTTCATGTAGTGGGGTTATGACTATTACTTCATTTTACTCATTATATTATAAAAATTTATCTGCATTCACTCTCACAGCAATAAACCGAATTTTTTATAGAAAAAATCTTCGATGATTGGGATGTCACAATTATGGTTTGCACCGTAAATATAAACAGGAAAACCGTAATAATAACAGTAAATAAAAATTAATAATAAAATTTTTTAAAAGAATGACATTTCACGCCAATTTGAAAAAAAATAAACGAAAGATTTCCTATTGTAATTGACACAGATGCTGGTAAATATAATTATAATATATTATTGAGTTATTACTTTGTAGAAAATTTATTTACAAATTAACAATTGATGATTTTATTGCAATTTTGTTGGCATTATATTCTCCAAACTTGGATGTAATGACTATTACAGTTTCGTATGGTGTGATTCATTCTTAAAATATAATAATCATGATAATTATCAAGTGTTTTAATTAATTCAAATCGTTAAAATCATTGATTTCTGTAGGTAATACAACAGTAACTACGCATTCAAAAATATATTTTTCCACATACTTGAACAAGAATCGAAATTTAACTTAAATAAATCATTGATTGATAATTTTAATTGGTCTAAACCTCTGGTTGCATTCGGTTTGTGGCGACAATTATAATAATAACGGTGATCATAGTCCATAATTTGATTAGAAAATAAAATTTTTTTTTCTTTAATTAAAGGTGCAGCAGATGAACCAAGTTAAAGCCGAAAGATTTCTAGGTCAAGTTTTTGCGGATTTGATGGACTTTCTGAAATTCATTCAAATGTATGTGTTTCTATTTATTATTGTTATTACCAATAATTCACACACAAACAATTTGCACAATAGTTCACTAAACTAAAAAAACATGCAGATCTAATTCCAGAAGATAGAATTATCTTCATTAAAATCCATTCCACATTCCATTAAGAACAATGAAAAATGCAAAGCCTCATCAAAAATATTGCATCCAAAGAAATCCTAAATAAGTTATCACCATCACCATAACAATCATAGCAATTGGTCCATTAACTAATATAGCATTGGCTCATAGCGAAAATAAATCTGTATTCTTTAGAGTTAAACAAACTATTACATTAGGTGATAATATTGGAAATGTAACACTTTCGGTTGAATTCAATTTCTTTTCAGATCTTCAACTTTCTGAAATTCATTCAAATGTATGTGTTTCTATTTATTATTGTTATTACCAATAATTCACACACAAACAATTTGCACAATAGTTCACTAAACTAAAAAAACATGCAGATCTAATTCCAGAAGATAGAATTATCTTCATTAAAATCCATTCCACATTCCATTAAGAACAATGAAAAATGCAAAGCCTCATCAAAAATATTGCATCCAAAGAAATCCTAAATAAGTTATCACCATCACCATAACAATCATAGCAATTGGTCCATTAACTAATATAGCATTGGCTCATAGCGAAAATAAATCTGTATTCTTTAGAGTTAAACAAACTATTACATTAGGTGATAATATTGGAAATGTAACACTTTCGGTTGAATTCAATTTCTTTTCAGATCTTCATGCAGTCAGTGATTTGGTTGAGGCCACTAAAGGTTATGTCCCCAAATGAACATGATGATGTTAGATTAAAAAACTGAAATCAGGCGAAATTGTTCCATTACATCTTATTGCAGGGTTGGCAATAGACTGGGTCCATTGAGACCAATGGATTTTGGTCTGCTCCATTGCCATTAACAAAATACTAAATATGCCAACTCTGTCTTATTGTATTGCCCATTGATGGTGGTATTTATTTAATTATTTATATAATTCAGATTTTTATTCATTAATTTTCTTTGAAATAATATAGTCATGTACAATCATATTGGCACAGAAATAATATAACGAACTTATTTCTTCACTAGATATATCATTAATTAATTACACATTTGATATAATGATGAAATATTGTAATTCATCAGTATTTGTAATGCATGATCCAGCGTGTGTGATGACAATTTTAGACATGTTGATAAAAATAAGTCAAGATACACCGCAAAATTTGTTGATTTAAAAATTGAAACCGATGGAAAATACACAAGAGGAATGGGTATAATTGATAAAAAAAGATCATATGGTGGCGAAAATAATGATTGACGATAGTAAAATTTTTAACAGAAATTTATTTCAATGTATATTAAAGAATAATATTAGATTGTTACAGGTATTATTATTACTAATATTATTATATATAAAAATTAATCAAGCATAATCTTTATCCTCGCCGCCGCCACCGCCACCACCTACATCGATAAATTCTTTCTGTTTACCATGACCTAATGTGTGTTGATCTCCCACAATTCCAATATTTGATAATACAAAAGTACCAGTATTCAAACCTGCCCATCCGAATGTTGCAATTGACGCACCAACAAACGCCACAACCATCAATACTATTGCTACTGGCACAAAAACCACCAACCCCAAGAATGTAAAAAATCCTTGCGCACAAAGAATTCCTACACCAGCTAAAGCGATAACAAATCCCAATGTTAGGATAAACCATCCAACAAATATTATCAATGGAATCGAATTAAATATTAACAATGTATAAAGTAGCCATCTTATCGGTGGAAAATTTCCCCATAAATACTTGATTGCTTCATAAATTGAATCACTAATTGGTTTAATATAATCTCTAACCATTTTAAAATAACTTCCATTATGTGTTAGACTTTGTGCTGTTTGCTGAATACTTTGTCCCACATGATGTGTCGTATCTCTTCTTCCATCCATTATTGATTATTATGATTATTAAATTTTTTTTTGGGAAATTATTTATTTCATGTAAGAAAAAGCCAATTTGATTTTATTTATCTCTTTTATAAATATTAGTCATCATTATTACTTAATAATGATTAGTTTACATCATGATGAATTCGAGTAATCATTATAAGAAATAAATATGATGACGATGATATCATTCTTCAGATTACACAATTACAGCAAACAATTAATTATTGGCTTACCAAAAATAGTATATTGATATACTCCTCAGAGTGAAACAATAATATTTCAACTTTCCAAAAGTTTACATTCTCACTTCCAAACTTGAAAAGGGCTAATGGTGCTGATTAGCCCCCTTTTCTTTTTCAATGTTGGCCTACCTCTTCTTTCACACGACTTGAATATGATTAACAGATAATAATATAGGCGAAAGCCCTAAATATTAAAATTATTTAGTGTAAACTCCAAGAAAAAAACCATCGGATTTATTATACAGGTGCTGCTCCAAGAACAATTAGATACAAAAAGCAAAAGCCTCGCTGTTCAAAAGTTATTAGCCTATAATAAAAAGAGTTATAATTTTGTCGACCTTGGATGATTACCTAATACTAAGGCAGAGAGGCAGGAATGAAACTATAATTATTTGAGAAAACATTTGGAATGCTAGATAAGCCTCTTGAGTAATTATTCCAGAATTAAGAATTTCTGCTAGAGGTGTTAGCTCTGGCCGTAGCTGTTTCAAAAACAGTGTTTGATGAGTATTCTTCATATTTATCCTTCATTTGAAATTCCAGTTCTGCTAGTAATAATATATTCAGTTGTTTGTGGTAATATAATAATTTGATGCTATTCTAAGCCGAGTAAAAATAGGTTAAAGACAAATCTTTCGTTCCCCTATTTTTTTATTTTTTTGCTTCACAATGTAAAAAGAAAACTTTTTAATAAATTTTTTAAAACGTGAAAAAATTTGGTAATATTATTATTATGTTAGGTTACAATATCAATGATGTAATAATTACTGTTGTGTTAATATTTGCACCATATTAATGTTTATTTATTATTATTTTTTTCCTTTGAAAAAATGTTGTACATCTTTTCTTTTTTCTCTTGCAAAAATAAAAAAATAAAAAAATGTCGAAGAATTATAGCAATGATTACGTTGAAGGAACTCCTAAATTATTAAAATTTGCACATTTACATTCTACTACACGTCGAATATTCATTGGTCCTACTCCTTCTAATTGGTCTTACAAAAAATCCAAATCAAAATGGTTCAAAATTAATTCTAAATCAAATTCTTCAAAAACTTTCATAGTCACAAAAGATTCGTTGGGCCCTTCAAATCTTGATCCACTTGATCTTTCTTTACCTAAAACTGAAATTTTAAGGTAATTAATATCAATATAAAACTCTTTTATTTTATTTTTAATACTTATATATATGTGATTTTCTTAGTAATGATGAAATAGAAGTTGAAAAAAAAGGGTTTGTTATGGACGATGAGACATTTCATTTTGAAAATGAGACCAAAACTATTAAGGACAATTCGTCAAAAAATATTTTTCAAAGCAAAACTAGTTGTGATAATATTACATTGCAAGACCTTAATAATTATAGTACAGAAGGATCTGGTGCTTTTAGTGAACGCAATCAAAATTCATCAGGAAGCTATTTTTCTCCTATCAGTGAATTATACACGACTCCAACAGAGGAGACCAACATGTATCCTATTACGCCACCACATAATAATCATTCACATCTTGAAAAGTTACCGCCACATTTATATATGCCTCCAACAGTTATTAATGATGATAATGATATAGCTGTGCAAAATGAAAAACAATCTTACAAAAACAATAATAATATTTCAACTTCATCCAGTTCAACTTCATCATCTAAAATTATTGTTGATCCAGAAAATGAGAATGATTCAAATGAAATTAATGAACATTGCGATGATGCTCAACCTTTACCAGATGTTCATGATTTTGATCCTCAAACCATAATAAAGGAGGGTTGTATGCTAGTGAAGATTGAAAGAACAAATGGTTCATTAACTTACATTCAAGAGCCAAAAAAACATCATTTAAAAAGCCATGTAGAATGGAGAGAATATATTGTTATATTACGACCAGGAATATTAGAACTTTATAAAAATAAAGTATGTATGTATTTAGATATATATTAATATATATATGTGTGTGTGCGCGCGCATGGATATTAATTTAATATATTATATATACATCTTTTGCATTAGCAAAAAAAACATGTTGACAAAATTCAACTTAACAACTTTACTAGAATGTCACTTTATTCAACTATTGACTACACAATAGCTATTACTCAAAAATTAAATGATGGAACGAAAATATTTTATCTATGCCCCAAAACTTATCCAATTTGTAACGAGTGGTATCAAGCACTTCATAATTTTCTTCCAAAGGGTTCTAAAAAAGAAAAACCGAATGTATGTGAAGTTGTCGTTCCTGATTTTGTAGTTGAGATAAGTATTCCTTTAGAAGATGAAGAAGGAATGGTACATTCTTTAACACCAAAAAAAATAATAAAAACTGTATTAGATGAATTGAAAGGCATAGTTGAATGGAAAGATGTATTGGATGAATGGTTAAGAAGGACCGAGTTAAAGTTATGTTGGAAAAGATACGATAGATTAGAATGGATTTATAAAGAAGAAAATCAATTTAATATATTAACATGCACACAGTTTATTGAAAGGGTAATCTACGCTCTGTGATTATTCTTTTTGTCAATTATTACTTACATTCATTTTATTCACTTTTTTAAAGACTCATCAGTTGCAATTACGTCCAACAGTCCATTATCCTACTATTGCAAAATTACCAAATGGAAATATTATTAATGTAAGAATAAATAAGTAAGATCATCATCATCATCATCATTATTAACAATGAATGATTGTTATTGTTATTATTAGGAACCCCCTCCAGTAGAAGGATATCTTATACGTATTACTAATAACAAGGGTAAAACTATTAGGTCAAAAAAATTATATTTTTCCTCACATAATCATCACTTATTTTACATGATACCATTTTCGACAAGTCAACCACAAGCACCTGTGATGGAATCAAATGAAAGTAGTAGCAATAATACTCAACCACTTACTTATGCTGTCACTCCTCATCTTGATGAAAATTTTGAAAATAGAGATTTGTTTATTGAAGAAGATATGAAAAGACGAATCAAACAAATAGTTTGCGGCAAAGGATTTATTGATTTGATGGAAGTTGTTGAAGTCAAAAAATCAAGCTATAATAAAAACTCTAAATCTATTGTTAATAATAATAATAATAATAATAATGTTAATAATAATGTTAAAGGAAAACAAAAGGCAAATGAAGAAAGTAATAATATTTCGCCACCACCGAAAGAAACTGATGATTATTATGAAAGTGAAGGTTCACCTTTTGAATTAATATTAAAGAATGGAAGATCTATAAAGTTAAAAGTAATAAATGTTTTCTTTTTTTTTAATTTAGGGTTTTTTATTTTTTATTTCTTTATTCATATATATTTCTTTTAAAATGTATAGACATATTCTAATTGGACTCGAGATGAATGGATGAAACGGCTTGATGCTCTTATTATTTATTGGAAGGCAAGAATGTCATCTGATATACAAGCACGAGCTAACACATTAAAAGAAAGTCAAGGCAAAAATCCAGGGTGTGATGATAATAGAGGTTTTTTTGATGATAATCTTCAACATAACTGGGAATTATTTAATCAATATATTGATCCAAGTATATGGAATTGGTGTACTTTGGATAGATGTCGTGGAATCACGGTATTTTGCTTTAATATTTCAAAATTTCAATTTTTCATATAAAATAATACATTAACACTTACATGACTTGCTTATATATAATATATACAATATGTAGAAATCAGGAATTTTGTATCATAAATCCCATTTATATGGCACATTCAAAAAATATTATTATGTTCTTACAAAAGGTCACCTAATATATTATAAATTTTATACTTATTCAACTTCTGGGAAATGTGTTCGAAGTAGTTATCATAAAATTGCAGGTGTTATACATTTAGAAGATTGTTATATTTATTCTGGTGAGATTACAGAAAATGATCTGTTGTATTCAAGTTTAGTAAGATATGATAATGCTGCTACAGTTGATGTGTTGCCAAGAATATATTCAGATGGAATGTGTTGTTATGATGATGATAAAGAATGTACATTTGTAATTTGGGAAGGAGAAAAAAGATATTATTTTAGCAAAAATGGAAAATTCATATCTTTAAAAAAGAAAAAAATGCTTGATACAGGAAAAACATGGGTTTTTAGAGCAAGAAGTAGACTTGAATGCGAGGAATGGGTTTGGGCATTTAAGGTTGAAATTGAAAGATATTGGAAAGAACAATGTTCAAAAAAATCAACTTGATTTTTTTAATTCAATCCCTTGTAAATATTTTGATATAATTTTATTTTAATTAATTTAATTTATTGATTTATTTAATCTACCATAAACTTTTTAAAAAAGAAAATTTTAGATATTATTATTATGTTTAAATAGTTAGTTGTACTTTAATAATCACTAAAGAGGTTTATCCAGATTCAAAAAGTAAATGAGAGCTGAAGGATAGTAATTTCGTTAGAATCCTTACTCTTTAGCTAAAATTCTTGTTAATATTTTAAGACATTTTCATAATAAGTTCTGATCTCAAAATATATTAGTTAAAAATTTTATTCCTATAGTTATTATTAGTACAAGACTCTATATATAGAATAAACTATCAATGAATATGCCCTAATATTAAGTTCGCTTTATCTGAATTTAAGAACATTTACATGTAAGGAAGGATTACTTTTTGTAATAAACTATATATTAATTTTAATATTTGATATGATGTGAAATTTCAAATTCGTGTTACAGAACGCTTTTTTATACCTTGAACTTCATTATTAATGTAAAACGAAATTACTACATTAAAGCTTCCTAATGATTACCTTTTCATATTGAAAGGTCTTCTCTACATAAATTTACGACTATTCAAAAATGGTGTTGCTTTTTCCCTTCAAACCTCAGTTTATTTTTCAATATCGTTTTAAAAGGCTTGATAATGACTAAAGAGGTGCAAATAAGCCTCCATATGGTCGTTACTTTATGGAGGATGTTGGTTAACAAGTTTTAGAGAGATTCACAAAAACGGTTTATAAATGTTTTAATGCTAGTTTATGTCAATAATTTCTTCATCATTTAACAAAAAATTTTTAAATGAAAGAACCAAATATATTGAAGGCAATAATGGGCAATACTACCTTTTTTTTCCATAATATGCAATATTTACTTTCGTAAATAATATATTATCTTTTATATATAAAGATTATTGTTAATTGATATTTTTATTTATATTTAAATAATATAATGATTAAATTAGTGATTGCTTTATATAATGTATTTATTATTCATCAAATATTTATCATCCATCACCACTGGCAGAATCTGACAGTGATGCTATTTATTATTATTAAATTCTTCACGATTAAAATATCATCCATTAAAAAACGTGTATCGATCATTACAACAAATTTTGATGATCAGTATCATGGATTCGCTGAAACGAGGTTTATATTGTATTAGTATTAGTATATCGATATTAATATTAATATATTTTATATGTCGGTTTACGTTGTTTGGTTATAATAATTTTCTACTGATAACCTTTATTTTTTCTCCTTCCCAAGATCATTTACGACTTCACCAACCATATCGGCTCTAGAATAATCATTTTCTTGTATGGTCTTGTTGAAAAGGGTTTTAAATTTCTGCATGAGTGGATCTGAAAACAAAGTGTGTCTTGAAGCTATAAATACGAAAATATTTGATGCTTCTCACCAAAGATATTGGATATATTTGTTGACCCTAAGGTTTGGAATAACATTAGAAAGAAGAACATAACTTGACCCATAATATATACTAACATTGAATTTTACCAACCAATTGATTTATCAACTGATCGTAATAATTCACAGATTTTATAATATTTTAATGATTTAATAAATTATTGACTACTAATAGATTTTACCCTATTAAACCTAACCAACCTTTTTGATGTATATAACAATTTGATCCTATTAATGATTATTACATTTGTAAAATTTTTAAATATATAAATAATTTGACCGTATTATAATTTATTGACAAAAAATTTAAATTGTATATATATATATATATATGAATTTGACCCAGCTGCGGTAGTAACCTACCTATCTATGAAGTTTGTGGGGTCCTCATTTATCCTGGTCAGAAATGGATATAATACGTGAGATACAAGTGACTTAACATGCCTTTGATTTTTTGACAAATTTAAACAATATATTATACGCAGTTGCAATTGGTTGTTTTTTGTAATTGTTTGATTTAATGTGTGTTTCTAATTGATTATTTGAAGAATTTTTTATTTGAATGTTATGAGGTATAAAAGTAATTCAAATAGATTTATCCTGTTTTTAAATATTTCTCTGATGAGATTAAACAATTTATCATGGGACTCAGAATTTTGACACATCTCATGCAACACATAGACCCTGAATCAACGTCAAAAAAAACAAGTTTATTTATTCATAAAACAGAGAAGATCCAGCGATCATATATATAATAATACATAACATTAGATTATTAGATTAAGAACTCTGTATCCTGCATAGCGTAATTCGGCAATCATATTATAGATTTTTAGTGGAACATTAATGACTCACTTTGGACAATTGGGGTTGCAAAATTATCATGTATAGAAAGTTGATTACTACGCATATCAATTGTTGTGCCAACCATGGTTTTCCTAACATTAAATCAGGCCCAGGCCAATCTAGTCTAAGGACCAAGAATTCAACGAGATCAGTGCTTTTATGCTTCCCGTAAGCAGTTCAACCTTTCCTAGTATAGAAAAGGACTCATGTATCATTTTAAATTTAGGTACATTGAGACCAATGAGTTTTAGTATCACCCAATCCAAGGATCTACATTCTCAAAACATGAGGTTCAACCTTTTAACAGGGGTGTCTGGGTGGTTGTGTTTTTGTGTAACCCCAATTTTAATTAGTAGATTGGGTCATGGTTTACCGGTAAGGGGTTTAACCTTAGGATCGATATCTCAAATAGTAAGACTAATCCTTGTTGTAGATACTTGGATTGGTTGTTTAATATGGTCCATTGACATTAATAGAATATTAGATTTGGGATGTTCTCTATAATTGAATGGTCTAATTTACTACGTATGTAATTCAAAATAACCAATAAAAAATAAATGATATCTCCATTAATAAATTAACTTTAAATAAAGCAGGCATTGATATTTTAAAACAAATGCCAATAAAGTTTTAATATGATAGATATATTATAGTGATAAAACATTTGATACCTTATTTTTGATTATTCTCTGCTGGTGTTCTTGAAGTTCTACTGTCATTGGTTGTTGCTTAAAATCAACGTAACATCCATTTTCATTTCTTGGTCTGTTGCTACTTGTTTGGGCGAGGAATTTTTATAAAGATATTAAAGTAATTTTGAAGAATTAACTCACGAAAATTAAACCCGGGGCAAATCATATGATCAATGGATACTTGAATGTTACTGGACAATTTTTATTTGTAATGTTTTTTGCAAAATTTTTTCAACCCAGTTTTTAACTGGAAAAATCGATGACTTTAACCGTGCTTAGACATTGGTCTAATACTAAAAAATTTAGTTTTGACACTAATGACCTAAATGATTTAATTTATAGCACACAAGCCTGAAAAAGGTTATGCATCCAAATTTCTGGAAATTTTGACAGGTTTGACAACAAAAATCGTCCTGGAAAAATGCTAATAAGCTCAAATTGGTTTATATATGAAAATCAATTTAAGACCTACAAATGGTAAAAAAATAAAAAGACTAGGCAAAAGAAAAAATAACATTAATAATTTTTGAACAACAAAAATATATAGAAGCACCACCGCCAATCCTCTCTATATTGTTCATGCATCACTTCGAAATACCCAAAATCAATAAACTTATAATTTTTGCTGATAGTATTTTATTATATTTTTTTTTTGGGTACATTTATAATAGTCACGTGTTGCATTTTTTTAAAGAAAATATTTTTTCCTAATTTGTTTACGTATATAGTACGCTTTGAAAAACAAAAAAAACAAGCCAAATTTATATTAATCTTATTAATGTTCAAGAAAAGTAGGCTGTGGCACTTTTATATATATATATATTACCTGATAAGAATTATTACTTGCTTTTGAAATTTGTTTTTTTTTTGTACAACTTTTTTTTTTTTTTTAAACTTTTTTAATTGATATATACTGCGGCTTCATTTTCATTATCATTCATTTTTTTATTACGCGAATGTAAAATAGAAATATGGCTGATAGTAATATAAATATAAAAAGAAAACGTACATCTGAAGTTATTGTAGATGCGCCAAATAATTTAGATTTAGAAGCTTATATTGCAAACTATACAGGTTAGAATTGAATTCATAAATCAATAATTTGAAGGATTTAAAAATATATATAACAAACAACACATAAACGTTTATTTATTTTAGGACACACAAAAGTAGATCGATTACTTTTTATTGCATCAAGATGTCTAGCACTACAGATTGACGCATATAAGCTTGCAATACAAGAACTTAGAAACTCTTTGGATACAAATCAATATCTTTATGCAGCCTCGAAATTTAATGAAGTTTTAGCATCGAGAGGACTTCTTTTGTATCAGGTTGATAGTTCATGGGTTGATTCAACACAAAAACTTGCAAAACAACGATTGGAAAAAATGGAATTGGAATTGAAGAATTATAAGAATAACTTGATTAAAGAGAGTATAAGAGTAAAATAACATTTTTTTTTCTTTGATAGTTGCATGTGTGATGCATATGTGATTTAAATGAATAGATTTTGAAGAAGATTTTTAGTTGATTTATAATTTTTTTCCTTTTCAAAAAAATAATTAAAGATGGGACATAATGATCTTGGAGACCATCATTATAGATGTGGAAATTTGAAAAATGCATTAAAAAGTTATTCTAGGACTAGGGATTATTGTACAACAGCTAAACATGTTATAGACATGTGTTTAAATGTCATCAAGGTTTGATTGATATTTTTTATTTTTAGTAAATAAAAAAAAAGAATATATAAACATATATATATATATTATTACCACACCACATTTATTCCCTTTTTAACATTTATTGTTGATTTAATTAGGTTTCTATTGAACTTGATAATTTTTCACATGTTCATAGTTATGTTATTAAAGCAGAGTCAACGCCTGACATTCAACCGGCAGTACAAGCAAAACTTAAAGTAGCGGCAGCATTGGCTAATCTTGATAATTGCAAATACAAACATGCAGCAAGATCATTTTTAGAAACAAGTTTTGAAATAGCCAGTGGACCAAATAATTATTCGGAGGTACGATGATGGACTTGATGGGTTGTGGCGGGGAAAGAGAGGGGGTTTTTTTACTAAATGTAATTTTTATAATTGTATATTAGGTAATTTCACCAAATGATATTGCAGTGTATGGTGGATTATGTGCTCTTGCATCATTTGAGCGAGCCGAGTTAAAAAGCAAAGTGATTGATAACACCGAGTTTAAACAATTCTTGGAGCTTGAACCACATATTCGAGAACTTATTAATAGTTTTTATAATTCTAAATATGCTGTCGTATTGGATATTTTAGAAAGATGGAAGGTAATAAATAAATAATGATGATGATTCTAGAAAAAAATACTACGAATATATACATACATACATATATATATATATATATATATATATATATATATATATTAATTTATTTATATATCCGTCTTTCTTGTTATATATATATATAACAACTCTTTTTACAGAATGATTATTTGCTTGATATTCATTTGCATTATCATGTTGAGACACTTTATGACGAGATTAGGAAGAAGGCGTTAGTACAATATTTCAGCCCATTTCTTACTATTGATATGAACAAAATGGCCAAATCTTTTGTGACTAATGTTACAAGGTTAGAAAAAGAACTTGCCAAATTAATTACCGAGAACAAGATTCAAGCAAGAATAGATAGTCATAAAAAGATTTTGTGTGCTAAACAACAAGATCAACGAAGTGGAATATTTTATAAATCTTTGAAAATGGGTAAAGAATTTGAAGAAAGCACCAATGCAATGTTACTTCGTATGAATTTATTGAAAGCAAATCTTGTCATACAAACTAATCACCACCATCACAAGTAAGTTTAATAATTGTTATGATGATATAATAATAATGTAATGTGTATCATATTAATATATTATGTTGTTATTATTATAGAGGTTTTGATAATAGAAGATTTTACTATGGGTACTCTGATAAATAGATATATATTTTATATATAATTTAAATTAATTAAAAGTTAAAAATAAATAAATAAATAATTTATATATATATGTATGTATGTATATATATATATATATATATATATATATATATATATATATAGGATATCTTATTTCTAATTATCTATCTAGCTATATATCTATTGTATCATGTGGCAAAATTATAAATAATTTCATTGATATGAATAAATAAAAATAAACAAACAAACAATTGATTAATGGATAAAGAAACAAATAAATAAAATCATTAACTTATTTATTAATTAAAAATTTTATTTTTATGCAACTCCCGACTCCTTTTAATTCATCCTCTCTCCTTTAATTTAATTTCTCTCACCATTATTGTATATTGAAATAATTGTTTATTGCGCTAACAATTAGTCTATGTTCGACTGAATGTATACGAGATTCAAGATCATTCAAAGTATCTGAATCAAGAATCGGGACTTCTTCGATCAGTAACGGTTGACCTTTATCGACATCAACGATAACTTTATGTACCATAACACCAGTTTTATTAATTTCACCTTTTTTAAAAGCTTCGTAAGCTCTCTCGATAGCATTTGCACCATCAAATTGACCTGGTAAAGCAGGATGTAGATTTATTATTGGTGTTTCCTCGTTCCCTTCATTTTTCTGAAAAAATTTTAAAAATTCATTTGATAATATATGCATCCAACCAACAAGAACAATCATATCAATCTTGTGGTTATTATCATTGATATGATCGTTAGCAAACTCTATGATTTTTTTAGCAAGATCTAAATCATAATCGATGCGTGATTTTCCCGAGTCTTTATACGGTTTCAAAGGAAACACCAACGTTGGAATGTTTGCCTCGGCAGCACGTGTCAAACCATAGGCAGACTTTCTATTAGAAATTACCAAGTCGATAACACAATCTTTCAAATAGCCCGAATTTATAGCATCGATTATTGCTTGAAGATTCGTACCATTACCAGATATTAATACCATTAGATGTTTTCTAGTCATAATAGATATATATAATAATAGAGATGTGTTATGTATGATGTACAAAGAAACAGGTTATCGAATGTAGATCATTCATATATTTATATATCTTTGTTACACGGACATGTTTTTACTAAAAAAAAGGAAAAAAAAAGAAAAAAAGAAAATGTCAACTAGAAATTCGTCTGTGGAAGAGCTTGGAAAGACATTAAATGGACTTTTAGTCGAATTGGATGTTATTGAGAAGAGTGGAAATGAAATTTTTTCTAAAATGTTAGTTTTCCAATATTATAATTAGAAGAAGGGGGAAGATCAATAATATTAATCAAAACCATTTATTCTATTATCATCATTTAGTGAGAATTCATTTTCATATCCTTATCCAACTAGTAGTGCAACTGGTAAAATAACAATAATAATTATCAATCTCCCAATCACAGTTATTATTCTAATATAAATCTTTAATTGTTTATAATAATATTATTAGAGGAATTGAATACACTTTTACAATCGATTAAACTTTTTGAAAATAAGGCCAAGAGTAAAGGAATTACAAGCCTCACAAATAATATAGAAGAACCAGACAATATTAGCGATAATATTAATAATAGAATCAGAGCAATGACTGAAGAAAGAAGTAAAGCCACTGATGCATTGTTTCAAGAGATTAAAAAAATATCCAATAACGCTAACGCCGTCTTGTCATGAACTTGTATATAATTAATTATAGGGAGAGAGAGGGAAATACAATTAAAGTAAATTAATTAATTAATTAATTAATCAATTGAATGATCATAATAATCAATCTAGATTCATTTATCCTTATTTATCATCATCGTTATTATTATATTAAATTAATGATTAGATCAATTGCATACAAAAAAAAAATTTTTAAATTCATTTAATAAAATTATTTAAAATATTTCCATGTATGTATGTATGTGTTATGTATGTATGTATATGTGAATGTGAATGTAAATGTTGTATATTTGTATATATGTGAAGTTGATCTATTATCCATTATTCATTATTGTGAATATATAAGACTTAATTTTCCAAATAAAAATTTGAAAAGAGTTATTAATGGTAATTATTTTTATTATTTTATAAAATAAAACAAACAACGAAAAAAAAATGGTACATTTTAATTTGTTTCTCTCTTACATAATCTCCGCATTTTTTTAAGCCATCTCACATAAAAAAATCTTCAATTCGGAAAAATGAGGCAAAAAAAACCATTTATTTGTTATTATTTGTCAATTTTATAATTAAATAAACTGTCAATTACATCAAAAAAAAATCTTCCTTCCATATGAGAATTAATTTGGTAATATATTTTACACAAAAAAAAAAAAAAAAATAAAATAAAAAGAAATACGGAAAAGATTTTTTTTAATTATTGTCACATGCATTTGAATATATTGCTTATTGTACAAAGTTTTGTGGTGTAACATTGTTTAATTTTTCTTAAGGAAACAAAAACCACCTACTAAAGATTATGGACTATTATATATATTATCAACTAATAAATATCAGAGGATATGCAGGGTTATTATGATAGAAGAAGGAAGAGAGTGAGAAAATAAGGAAACGAGAGAATAGAGGAAAGGGAGAGAGAAAGGGAGAGAAAGAAAGTGAGAGAAAGAGAGAGAGAGAAAGAGAGAGAAAGAGAGAAAATTATCTCTAATACTAAATGTTAAAACATAATTAAAAATAAATAAAAAGTAAAAATACTTCTTTAATATATATTTTTTGTTTGCGAATAAATAAAAATGCAGTAAACTTGTTTTATCTGTAAATATTAATGCAACAATTTATAAAATTTATTATTATTATTATATTTTGTATAATCATAGAACTTCCATATATGAATTAAAATATCGAAAAAATTAAAATTAAAATTTAAAAAAAAAATGAAAAAATAAATATATTTATATAATTTTTCTTTGTGATACAAAATATTTATTCTTTGAAAATTTGGTACTAAACATTGATGTGGGTTAATTATTTATTTAATTATTTTTTTTATTTATTTTTTCATTTTCATATTTATTTATTTATTTATTTATTTATCTGGTCTGTTATGTATTTATTTTGTTATGGATGGAACTCAAAATAATTGGTTTTATTTATTCTAATAAAAAATAAGAATATATATATTTTTTTTTTGAGGGTAAAAAACTTGATTAATTCTTGATTTTTTAGACCTCCTATGATGATCACGATGATCATGATGATAATTTTAAAAGTATTGATTGATTAACGGTTAATTAAGTAAAGAAAAAGAGGGAGATAGAAGAAAGTGGAAGTGTCAAAGTAATACCTAACAAACATTACACACATCTATATATATGTTATAAATAAACGTATTTAGTTTCCATATTTTAATAATACGCCTCTCAAATTAAAGAAATTTGTGTTTGATATATAAAGTAACACAAAAAACATAATATTTATAAAATAAACACATTATAAGCGCACACAAATGACGACGCATCATCATCAAACATTCTTCCCACTAATTTTTGCTATCAGATAAAAAAAATTTTAACTTTCATTAGGCTAAACTATTTTAAACTATCTTTGTTAAACTACAGTTATAATACGTCATCATACTAAAATTATAATAATTAATCCCATATTTTTATAAACATTTAAAGTACACTTCCCTCTGACGTATTATTTTCAACCAATCAATTGACAATCAACAGAAATCATTCTAACCAAACAAATCAAATAGAATTAAAATCGTCCAAAAAATTAACCAAATTTATCACGGCCAAAAAAAATAAAAAATATATTTCTAAATAAAAAAAATCTTACCACACTCACACACACACACATTACAAAAACATACCACAAAACTAACTAACTAACTAACTATATCTAAATACTGAAATTAACCTCGTACAAACTCGCAAATGCATTATTTATTTATTTAACTATAAAAATTGACTATAACAATCATATAATTAATATTATTTATTAACTATTTAATATATAAACTGCTATATATATATATAAATAAATAAACTATAAACTATAATAATTATTAGCTGTAGAAAAAAAAAAAAAAATCAATCAATCAATCAATCAATTATAACAATTATTACTCGAATTATTAGTGCCGCTGCCATTGCTAGTAGTATTAGGAATACGTTCTTGGGCCATTTTGTTCGTTGCCGTACGTAAAGTAATGGATAATGTGATATATATATATATCTATTTGTGTATATCTATGTGTGTATGTGTGTATGTATTTGTATATAAAAGAATTGTATATATGTTTTATGTGTGTGTGTATATATGTGTGTGTGATTTTGTATATTATTGTAAAGAAAAAATTTTTTTGTGTATATACAAGAATGAGAAGAAGAATAATAAGAAAAAT